GAACTCTCTTGAACCGTAGCGTAATCGAGAAATATACTGCACCGATTAATTAAGATCGTCGATCGTGGAAGCAGATGAGGACATGGATTAGCAGCGTAGTAGAGCTAGCAGTGTATTTAGATATTCATACTGAAAGCGTGGTATAAATGTAATAATTCCATGAAGCATTAGTGAGTGATGAAATGACGATGAGGACGAACGGCTGTCCCGTCTGCAATGACAGCGATACAGATATAATGGATTAATCGTTCATTCCTTAATAAAGAAATAAATACGTGTCCAAATGTATCTTCCATTGTGGATCCAATTCTCTGTTTCAGTTGCAACTGTCTATTGTAATATGCGAGTGATGCAGTATAAATTCATATCAAATCATGAGAAAAATCCTTGATTAATGGTGTTTCCACAATGGTAGTTTTCTTAATACAAAGATGGTAGAACAAAAAATTATGAAGTAAAAAGAGTCAGCTTAGTTTAATCTTCTAACTGAAGAGGATTAGCAGGATTAAAACCGATTGGCTCCGAGCACGTAAAATCGTTGGAGGTTCTGCATAGCCGCTCCATTTGCGGGGATTAAATACACAGCTAAAAATAACAATTGAATATATCGTGTCATAAAGCATTTAAAAAAACACTTGTAATACGCTGTGACACTCTATTTCGTAATACACTGTATGTCCGTGAGTTGTGGTATTTTTTAAAACAGCATTCACATATAATAGTCGTGCATCGTGTCAGAGCTTTTGTTCTATCACAGGTTAAATCGTGCTGTTCATCTCTTGTACAAGCAAGATTTTAGCCTGATCGACCAGCAAATGGGAACACACGATACACGTTTTAGAAATGAACGTGGCTTCAAAAATATAAATGCTACCAAAAATAATGCACCAAACACGAAATCATTTATATAAATCGCTAAGTTAAACAAATAGTTCAACTATAAAACAATTTTGCAAATGCTAAACAGTAGTGGATATAGAGTCTACGAAATAAAGATTATTTTCAAATACACGATATCTAATATTTTGCTGATAGTAAAAATTTTGCTGAATAAAAATTAAATATAAATTCCTGTAGTGTATTTAATATTACAATTCGTGCGCCATTTGCGATGGATCTAGCTTAATATTCATTATAACACAAACATTCACCTAACAGATTTCAAGCGGTAAGGGGCTCTAGTTTACCTTGGTCACTAAAGTGAGATCAGACCATTTTCAGGATGTAACGAAAAAACTTTTTAAGTCTGTGTACATCTAGACATTCATAGTTGATTAACCACAAATTCTGGACATGTGTATGGTTGATAGATAAAACATTAAGTTTGAGCGTTGAGAATGGTGGCGGCTCTTGTCGAGAGCATGAGATATCGACTACGTTGCGTAATGTATCTTCATAACAGGTACCTGTAATTAAGAAACTAATAAGCTTTACACACCGTTCAAATCTTTTAACTAGTAGCTAAAACAGAAATCTTGCAGATGTATTAAAAATTATTTGTAAGAGACAAATTGTCCAACCGTCGCTCCAACATCAAGAAACAAGAATTTTCGTTGCTTCAATAGGTACCAAGTACCTCTAGTATTTAGATTCAAAGTTAGAATAAAATTTGTTAAAAGATAATCTTTCCCTTCGTAAATAACACCAATAATGTAAGAAGGAGAAAAAATACAAGAAAACAGAAAAGTGAAAAATGATAGATATATAGTGAGCAAGTATTGTATAAAAGTGCAAGAACGTATAATGTAAATTGGAAAAATATTTTTTGTGCTGAAATTACGTTAGGAGCAAATCGTAGATATGCAGGATAAAATATTTATGATGATTCCTGTTCATGAACATACGATATAGACTTATTGATGGTGTGAACAGAAATGAAATTTTTAAAATTGCTTGTTGGTCTATATCGTTTGTTAAAACTCTTACGGATTATACTGTAACAAGAGACAATTAAGATTATTCTATTTATGTACCTTGTTTTCGTAGTTATGATTGTTTTATAGAGAAATCTCTCAATATAAACTGGGGTTTTAGTAAATACTGATGGGTGCGATTTGAATATGAAGATCGCACGCGTCATTGATCGCTTCTGAAATAACTACTTTTGCTTAAAACCTCATACTGATCACAGTATGCAGAGCTATAAAAATACAGCATTATCTATGTACAGACGTTAGAATTCTCTCTATTATTCTGCGAAATGCCTTACGCCCATTCTGCATTCTTCTTTCTAGAGGACAACATTTATCGCATATGCACATTTCCACCATTCTGCAGCAACCAAAACATCTGAACGTCGAGGAGAGCAAGGATTGAAAGAATTATTACCTTAAAAATTTCCACATTACGACGAAATGTAAGCACTCGGAACACAGTATTCACATCAAATTACATTTATCACTAAATAGATAACTCACCTTCTTCGCCGTAGAGAAGCGTTTTGTCCGGGTAAACCGAACTGACCTCTTGGAATCACCATACGTGCATTACCCTGAGCAGGTCTCGAACCTCCGTGCGCCTGTAGCATACTCAAATGAGCAGCATAACCATCATGAAGGATTGTTGCCAAAGAGTGGTGCTTCTTTGATGCTTTTCCAATGATGAAAATTTGATTTGGCTTGAGATTGATCGCGGTGTAAACGCTGATATCCTTACTACTGCCGTATGCATGATGAATTATTACACCGTGTTCCTAAATAGAAAAAAATATCGTTTGAATCATTCGAGTAATATTCAAACATTTGCACATTGCTTTCAAGCCTGTTATTCACCTGTACTAGTTTATGTAAGTACGCAGCTTTATGACCAAGTGGATCCGTTGAAAGACCATCCGCAAAGGACACAAGACCATGAGGAAAATTGTGTTGAGACAACCAAGAAACAACTTTTTGCTGTTGCATATCAGGTCTTGCAGTAATATATATAATTAAGTATCCTAGTTCTTGCCAATGCCTAATCAGGACCACAACCAGAATAACCATGGAATCAAGAATTGGACGTAAATGAAAATGTACAGTTTAAAATATACCTGACGACATCGACAGCTCCAGCTCTAACTTTCGGATCTTTCCCGCTCACTGACATACTCGCAGTAAACGAGCCATCTATACTAAATACTACGCATTCTGTTTTTGGTGGAATCACAGCCAAGAAGAAATCTACAGATGTATGATCACCCCTGAAAATCAAAAATTATATTTTCAACATGATATGATAATATATATATTTTTTTTTAATCACGCATGAACAACACTACCTAACAATCATTTTAATTGGATAAAGTCCATATTCCAATGCTTTATCATCAGGTATTTTATATGTTATTCTACCATTTTTATCAGTTATTTCAGTTGACAAATGTATCCATTCCCCTGCTGGAGCATCTTTCATAATGTGAATGTCAACTTTCTCGCCTATAGGAATTGATCATATTTTTTTAAATTACTTGAAAAACGTATATTCTGTGGTATGGTCGTACAACTGCATAGTATATTTAACATACCTGTTAAAGCGATAACGTCAATTGGACTGTACATAAACCTAGCAACCAGCACTTGTGGTACCCCTTCTTTAACGATAACGTCATTTGCCCTATGATTGGCAGCAACGTTCTAAAATAAAATAAAAAATGTAAAGTGAAATATTCATATCAATAATTCATTCTTCATACTGGCTTACCTTAAGTTTAACGGAAGTACGTTTCTTATTCCATTTTTCTCTAGGTTGACCTGGACGGAAACAAGTTAATTCTTTCTCTTCGGTGAGAAGTGGCAAATCAAATCTGCCCAATTGTCGTAAGATAAATGCAATAACATCAGAAGATTCCCAATAGCTAGCATGAAAAACATGAGGTAAAGCGTTTGTGGGGAAGTTTGCTAAACCCTCTGGACAATAGAGAGCATAATCTAATCTCTTAGTGCCCCACCATTTTTGCGTTACTGTAACAAATTGTTAAAAATAAATATATGTTAATTATGTACCAATAAGCACAGTAGATCAATATTCTATAATATGTATTATAATTAATTTTATTCTTTACTTACAATTAGATACTACTTGTAAAGGAACATTTTCAATCATCCCAGACATCGTACTGTGAATTGATATATCGGACAATCGTCTCAAGTGGAACATTTGCATATTTGGAATATTTAGTCCATCAGTAAATAATTGTGGATTTGACTGAATAGCTTCCACTGAAGATAGTCAATAATTTATTTTAATTATAAACAAAATAAAAATAAAACGTCTAGAACATATAATACATACACAGATGATAAGGCTGTCCATTTCCTAGTGGATATTTTTGATACCGAGCTATATTCACAGGCGGAAGAAGAGAAAACTTTGCAGAAATCAGTGGTTCTAATCTAGCAGCTACAGGATCAGTAGGATGGAACAAATTATACACCTGGTTCACCAACGGTCTTTTTATATTACTAGTTTTATCTGAGGAAATTTTCCTATATGCCAGTACTAGAGCAAGTGGACTACCGAACATGAAAAATTCTCCTACTTCGAAATCCAATTTACAATGCGAGCCATCGCTAAAAGGAAACGTATGTTAATTTCCTAAATTTATATTATCATAAGTTATGTGGACATAAATTCAGTTATAATTTTTCACCTTAAACTAGAAGATTTCCTTCTAGGAGAAGGTGCAGTCAAGTGTCTACCATCTTCGGCGTTCGTATTCTCAATGCCCTGATTATCCAAGATATTGTTCTCGCTATTATGTCTAGAGTGAGTTAATCTGCACAAAGCGTCATAAGTTAAAATCGCTCCTACTGAATCTCCAATAAAGCAAACTTGTCCCGTAAAACCACGACCCTCTTCACTTCTAATAAAGTCGTGATAAACTTGATTTGCCCCGATTATAACTCGTGAGACAGCGTCCTGATATTCAGGAGTAGAACTAGCAAGCAAAGGTATAGCGCCAATCGGAATAGTATCGTGTGTCACTTGAGGAGCATCCATAGACGAAGGCGACACATCGAAACTGTAAGGACTTAGACTGAAATAAAACACGTGGAACTTTTATATGACAGATTGAGATTCTATAAAAAGATAAATATCAAGATAAGATATAGGCAAATTTATATCTCTGATTGAATCACGTCGCTTTTACCTCGATAAAATACCCAGACCTTCAGTGCAAATGGATGGACAAGAAACAAATTTAATGGCAACGTGCCCGACCATACTGGGATAGTGTTGTCTCATAACTGATTCGAAGGCTCCTTTGAAAGTTGTAATATCCGATTTCTTCGCCGTTAGGTCAACGTTCGCATCTAAAACATATTTTTGTAAATAGTGATTCACAATCTTCTGAGTTTATTTAACCAATAACCTATGACAATTACCTAGTACACTTCCAGCATGCATCACAATAAGAAGGACAGTAGTTTTGCATGGTTGATGAGTTGGCGAATGTTGAGGTGAAGCTGGACACGAGGCATCGATGCTGGCTGATGTAGAGATTTGTAATCTTTTACTGCTACGTTCACTAGCCATACGTTGCAGGTACGAAGGAGAAAAAATCGTGTCATCTATGAATAAATGTCGAAATAAGTCGTAACGATAGCTAGAGAAACATAAGCATTTAAATTGCTAATCGCTATTTACCTTCTTTGCTAGTCATGGTAGGCGAAGTGAACGTATTGTCCTCCTCTTCTGCTAGAAGATCCAAAGAACTCCATTTAGATAATGAAGCGTTATCTCCAAAGTTCTCTGTATAATCAGAAATTTTAACATTGCTTATGCATCGTGCCTTTTTTTTTAGCATCCGTGACTCGTTTTAAGGCACAAATAGAGTACGAATCAGAGATATTTCTCTTTTTCAGATATTTGGCATTATAAGGTATAAAATGATAGTAAAGTCATACATTAAAAATATAAAGTTAAAAATGTTTTATTTGGTATTATTTCACAATGATTGTTTAATATTAACATTTGAAAAAAGTCTTACAATGAAAAAAGCAATTATTTTGTAATCTACGTAGCCATGCTTTTTCATGCTATTATAATTCCTTGATAATTTCCATGCTCAATGTTATGTATGAAGATTTGTATGTAACATGTAATTAATCAGATTTTCTTGTAAGTGTAAATCTCCATAAGCAACAAGTTCACCTTGTTTCATTCTACAAAGGCATGAATGCAATTACGCAATGTTTCTAGATTTATATCAAGAGTACTAATACTAGTATCAATGTTGTGATCTTTTATCCTTCAACTATGTTTCCGAGAAAACAAATGAGACATTCAAATGTCTGTAGTTCTAAAAATTTAACACTATCTACGTGTCCTACCTTCGCGTATAATAGGTATAATGAACCCAGCTGCAGTGTGGAATGCGACATAAAAAACAGAGAGGGTACACATATAAAAAAAACAGAAAATTTCATTACCAATCACATCATGCTGTATTTTTCTACTTTGCAAAATGCGAATTTCTACCTGACACATTCCTGTTTGTTTTTTAACAAATTTCTCACACGTTTATTCAATTTGTTTTTAAGGAAAGAAAACATACGCACAGTGTCTAAAGAAATTCGCCAAGGCATCTGTTTTATAGTTTAATTACATTAGCCAACTGTTGTTAGTATTACGCATATAAATTTTCAGAAAGATTATTTACATGCTGCGTGAAAAGAAATCGATGTTTTACCTTGACAATCAAAAAACTCATCTTCACTACCAGATTCGGATTCTCTCACGATACTTTCCATGCGCCAATTCACCATTTGCATATCGAAACTTTTGTTCGAGCACGGCGAACTCATCACCGTCTTGTTTTTCTTCCATCCCTTTTTCGCATCTGCTTTCTCTTCAGTAGGAGCGCTTCTGGAACAAATTTGATCGCATTAAATAAATGATGAACACTATAAAAAAAAAGAAAGAAGAGGAGTTACACACACAGAAATAAACTAGTTGCTGATTTTACTTCTATTTTTACCTATGCTCGGGTACTTCGGTAGGTGAATCTTCAGGACTAACTTCACCCTCTGAACTACCAGCTGTATTCGTAGGTATATCAGTCGATTTTCTAGCACTCGGAGGACTTTGAGGATCTTCGTTTTTCTCGATGCTCCCAAGTGTGGCAGCTAATGTTGTGGCAACGTTCGACTCTTGTGGAGTCGTGTTTGAAGCAGTTCTGTCTTGATTGTCATTCGTGGTTTCTTCACCACTTTCTGCGTTAGCCATTCTCTTTTGCAATGCCAGTTGCGTTTGTCGCTCAATCTCCCGAATATCTTCCATGGTCAAACCATTCCATTCATCTTGCCAAGCCCAAGCTTGTCTGTGAGCTCTGACCATAGTTTTCCTCAAGGCTGAAACCGTTTCATCGTCACATCATTATATGGTACGTAAGATTTCAGAAGTTGAACGTTAAGAAATAACAAGGCGACAGACGTGGAATACTGACCTATATCGTGTATAAACTTTTCTAGTTTTGTCTGCACACCCCAATATCGAAACTCCACACGGCATAACTTGTACGCGCACATTAACGATTTCCCGGATGGCGTCGGTTGTTGTTTCCCCTGGACAGTTTGCATCAGTATCAATTACATTAAGGAGCAATTAGTCGAAAAAAGTAGATACGAAAGAATGGGATTTATACTTTTACGTCGGACCAGTACTCCTCTAACCATGATTCCGTAAGAGGTCCTCGTCCGGTTTTTTGAGACACGTATGTTTTAGGATCCTCATCCTTCACATAGTCGCATTGATCTTTCACGATGTCAATTACATCTGAAATTTAATTATGTAATCGATATGGATCTTAATATTGTTGTGTCTTAAGAAAGAAACAGCGGACTGTGAAATGCTGTTGGAAATTCATAGACGTGAATACACACCTATGATTCTATTTCTCAAGTCGCTACCACTGAGATTGAAAACATTCTCTTGATAACCATTGTCAGGAAAATAGTGTGTTTCTATTTCAATAGAGAACTTTTCAACAAAGGGACAAGTGTAACGGGTTTTCGTATAGGGATAAGCGTTCCATGCTTCTTCCTTGGCGATCAATGCGGATCTGGGCAGCAAACTCTTGAACCATTCTGGAAGATGACTGCCCACGTGATAAATCTTGTGGGTATATTGTCCATTTCCACCTGGACCATTATTGTAGGGCTCGTTTGTTATAATTTCTACGCCGCTGCCTGCTCCTTGACTTTCTTCCCTAGATTTTTTCTGTAAGAAACAAATAGGTTTAAAAGATTCAATCACCTATTTGCTATTCACTCTTTGATCCTCCAATTTCCACAAGTTTCACTTATAACTTTTATTTATAAGGTACTTGAGAGGCGTTATTTTCAAGTTTGCTCGAAATCACGCAGTCCCTTCATGCTTGCACATTCAGTTGCAATCGCTCTCTTTTCCTAACTATTTAAAAAGTAAATATATATCTTCTGTAATTGGGAGAACACACTCTAGGATCTACAATGCGTTAGATTGCCATAAATTATTCTATAACGTAACCAAGTTGATAAGTTTCAAAATTCAGTTTACTATTTGTTCCAATATATTTATCATCTTTTATTTTATCATCTCATTATCATCTGATCTTCCAACAGAATGTTCCTCATCAAATTCTACGCTCTTCTTGCAATCTAAATTGAAATTTTATGTTATATTTTAATTTCATGATCGATTGATCTATAAATGTTATAACAAATAACTAACACCGTACTTGAAAATAAACCTTTGAAATCCGTTCGACGAGAGGTAGAAACGAGAAGAATTTGCCTCATTCGCGATATGATTTATGGAAATTGGAAGAGGCAATTGTGTAAAACGTAACGTAATATATCCGTTATGATGTTAAATTATTACCGCTATCATGTAAAGCTGAGCAATTTTATATTCCTC